TCTGTCGCCTCTCGGCCTGGTTTAAGGATCGGGATTATCGTGGCGGTTGTCCACTCTGGAGGGCAAGACCCCCTGGACCAGATATCGTTCAGTTTATCCAGAAGTACATTTCTTCCCCCCGGGGAGAGAGATCTTAACGCTTGCGCACACACCCCGTCAGGGCCTGGGGTCTTACGTCGGGTCCGATGAAGGGCCCTTTGTAGTTCTACTATGTGAAATGGGCTGTCGTCTTGGAGAAGAGGACCCTGTCGGGGAGGGCCGAGAGGGGCGAAGGTGCCTGTCTGACGAGCCCTACCGAAGTGATTAGCGAAGGCGTTGGCCTGAAGTGTGGGGGTGAGTAAGGTGTCTGCTGTCTGAATGATGTTGATGGTAGTCGAGGTCTGTGGGGGATTCCGTAATTGACGAAAAATTTGATAAAGTGTTGCCTGGGAGGGTGGGTTGGCACACATGCGCCCCCACCACTCCCGTCTAGATTGGCGAGTCTTTTGGCGAAGCATGGCCCCGTAACACTTATATTGGTTCCACCAGCCAATAGAGGCCAGTTTACGGCCAACCGAAAGGCTCGGCGTTTCCTAGCCCTTAGCCAGCTACATTCTGGGGTCCACCATGGAGGTTGTCCCGACTGAGTGTAGGACCTGGCAATGGTATTCGATTTCACTGCTTTCCGGAGGTCAACAATGAGAGCCTCATAATTATTTGGTTGTGCACCTTCCGTTAACCAGCGGTGGTCTAGATCACCTGAATATTGGTTCCAGTTTGTAAAATGTCTCAGGCGCCCCGATGCTCCCCCCCTCTGAGCTCCCGTCTGTGTGAGTGTAACAGCAATAGGGGCATGGTCACTTGTGAGTGTATCAGAAAGAGGATGCCAATGAACTGATCCCAGCAGGTCTGGGGTCCCAAATGTTAAATCAATAGCCGACTCACCTGTAGACCAAAAATGTGTTGGCTGTCCCGTGTTCCAGCAACATATGTTTTCAGAAGAGGCCCAATCGAAAAGTATTCTTCCCGCAGCGTCTGGGTGGACACAATTTTCGTCCCAATGCGGATGATGGGCATTCCAGTCCCCACTGAGGCAAAGGCGGCGATCGACCGGTAGTAAGTCACTAAGCCTGGCTTCCTGACTGATACCGTGGGGGGCATATACATTCACAAAGGTGAAAGGGAGGTCTGTAAAGTACGCCTGGGTCACTTGGACTTCCAGGTCGGAGACATTCGTGTGGCCTTGTATGTGGTGTGCTGGCCACCTTTGGGCTATAGCCGTCAAGAGTCCCCCTCCCTGACCGGAAGGGCGGTCATCGCGGAACAGGGAGAAACCAGGTAGGGTAAATGTTGTGCCCGGGGTCAGCCACGTCTCCTGGATGAGGAGAACATCTATCTCCCGGAACCAGGGCATGGTTATGAGTATGTCCCGTTTGGAACGAAGACCTCTCGCGTTCCATTGAATAATTCGAATGGTTGTCTGACTACTGGTAGCATTAGACATGGGGAAGGTGATTTTTCTGCTGACGGTTACGAATTTTTTCTTGTTCGGCCAGAGTTGTAAGATTTAGGTCTTCTAGAGGAATCGCCCTGGATGTGTTTGTGGTTTGGGACATATCTGTGTCGGATGGTGGGCCCTCAGTGTCAGATATGTCCAGAGCGGCTGCGTGTCTGAGTTTTGTGGCTTTTTTCTTTTTGGCTTGTTGTTCCGCGGCTGTTGATTCCGCGTGGTTAGATGCCCGCTTACTGGGTGTGGACATTGTTGGCGTGATGTCCATATTCTGCTCGCATTCTAGGGTTTGGGTTACCTGTTCTGGGACTGTCTGGCGGGACTGTAGTTTTTTGTTGAGATTGCGGATCTCCACCCGTAACGCCTCTACTGTAGATTCTAAAAGAGCGATTCTGCTTGTCAATGACGGGACGTCGTTTGTCGAGTCTGGGGGACCCCGGACAGGCTTCTCCCCTCCCCGATTTGGCCGTCGGGAGGCTTCTTCGGGTTTCGTCGGCTTATGTGTAGCTGTCACTGTGGCATAGGTCACTTTCTGACATTCGGGCAATCTCTTTGCTTCTTGGTATGAACACCTGCGTGTTACGCAAAGTTTGAGTACGCGAGCCTCGCGCTGGTATGCTTCGCATTGGGGGGAATTCGCCTTGTGTGCTCCTCCGCAGCGGACACAGTCCTTCCGCTCAGCATTGCATTCATTGGGTTCATGATCCGCTCCGCATCTGATGCATCTACGTCGGCCTCTGCACGAGGCGGCTGAGTGGCCGAAAGAAAGGCACCGTTCACAGAGACGTGGGCGAGGAATGTACCTTTCACATCTGTAGCGCTGATAGTATAAAGTAATTGTCTCCATTTTTGTAGCACTTGCCACTGACAAGTAAACTGTGGGGCTTGGAACTACTGAGTCCCCCTCTCTCCGCGTGAAGCGGCGTATTTCTATGACTGGAATGTTTTTGTCCGAAAGTATGTCGTATATCTCTGTTACAGCTATTGACGTATCGACACCTCGCACGAGATACGCAGTAAGCGCACAGTCTGGTGCTAATCGGCCCCTAACTTGTGTTCCAGCCAAGTCTGCGATGTGTAGGGCCTCCTCCGCTGTTTGGGGGTCGCAAGATTTAAGTATAAGAGCGCCTGCCCGCGAATACCTTACGTCTTGTAAGTTTTCCGGGTGTGTGAAGTGTTGTTTAAGTGTTGCATGAAGTTCCGCCGGACGAAGCCGGTGAAGGGGACTCTGACCCTCCAGAAATACCGTGTAAACTTGCTCCGGGGGAAGCGACCGGCTTATGGAGTTTAATTTCTCCACTTCCGTTAAAGGGGCGAAAAAGCGAAGTTCAGTAAGATCACCGCGAACCGCCGAGTCTGGCGGCCGTGGCTGAGGGCATCCTCGCCGGGGAGAAGCCCGTCCTTCACTCGGAAAAACCTCCACGACGGAGTACTAAAACGCTCCTACCTGAAAAAACCCCAAGGGTCCAGGGGATCTTCCCCAACAGGTTCCTCTAGTATCAGAAAGAACTGTAGCGAAAAACCTCGTCCTTCTCGTGAAGGGAAAACCCTTTGAGCACTATCTATTGATGATTAAAGATCGACAGTGAAAAATGGCGTCCACCGATCGTTTATCTTCTATTTCGGATAATAAACATGGATCACGTTTTACGGCATTAGAAAATATTGAATTACTATTATCTAATTTTGCAAACTTAGTAATTCATAACGGAATTTTTCAACCATTTTTCGAATTAAATTCATACAAATGTTCAACGCAGATACCAGTTTTGAAACTATTCTATAGGTCCTCTCTTGTATCGTATGCAAAGATGAACCCACTCTTGTTCTTGTTTCAGAAAAGAAACAATTCTTTTTTCCGAGTTCTTTGTCAGTACCTGTTGACAAGACTATGTCTTGTTTATAAAATCGTACTGCCTGCTGTGTTAACAGCTTAGAGGTATAAAGGAGTACATGTCAGGAGTTGCAATTTGGCACAGAGTATTAAGAGCCCAAATAATGCGCGCATAAAAAACCCAGACTTGTAGGTACTCGGAAGACTGATAAGCCAATCAAAATAAAATACAAAATGGCGACACTCTCTACAAACAGGCAATAATGCGAGATTTGCGCATGCGTTGCCTGCTGAAAAGTTGGAAATGCGAACGTTGCAAATCGAATTTTGACAAACGAATCTTTGAAAAAAAAAAAACCATTTACCTGTCCCGTGTTATTCGGACATATCTCTGGTCGCCACGTGCTGACATTGACCGGTTGACCCGAGATATCACCTTTCTTCATCGGAACGTTTTTGAAAGTAGTCGTTATAATTTTATATTAAAACTAACTTTCAAAACATAATTTGTTTTCTTTTCTTTTCACATTTATTAATATATATATATATTGTTTGTGCAAAATAAAAAAAATAATTTCGGACGATACGATAGCCACAATTATTTTTTCAAAAACGGGAAATTTTCGTTAGGCATCGACACGCAACGGAGAGAAATTAGATTGGATAGGTTAATTTCACCTAAAATGCATCTTGGACGACCTCGTAGTCGTTGTCGTGGCCGGCGAAATTTGGACGATCGCACCCAAAACCAGCGATACCAACGAAAGAAGATTGAAGAATGAGAACGAGACCCACCTTGAGCGTCGAAGTGATCCCGCTTATTAGTGAGTCTCCGAGACACAGTCTTGTCCCAAATACGGCCTTGAAGTTTTACTTGTTTAATGATAAACTAGTCGTCGACAGCCAATCCACTTGGGCGCTTTCTCGCTACTTGATAAAATCAGAATCGGATTTTATACAGAAAATATTTAATTCCAATATCATCTTGCGCCTCAAACAACTTCTAAATTATCAAAGAGATAATATAATATTGTCAAGTTTACGAATGATTGGCAATGTGGCTGCGAATGGCGATATTGCAACACAATTCATTCTCAACAACGATATTCTTCCTTGCTTCTAACATCATTTGAAACGTAGAAACCTTAAAATTCAGAAAAAAAGCGGCTTGGATCTTGTCAAATATTACAGCAGGAACCATCAGGATCAGATCCAATATGTTCTGAATACCTGATTAATGGCACCCGTCTCACAAATCTTAATCATCGGAAATTACAAATAGCTAATTTAGTACTGTATATAATAAATGCGAGATAAAATCAAGGTTCTGATTAAAACAGGTGTTACAGCCCCCTTATATCATATGCTGTATGCATCCGATACAGAAATTATCTCGATAATTCTGTACATTTTGAAAATTGTAGTGAAGGTTGCAAATGTGGTTTAAATGGAAGAAAAGATTCGCATGATGATAGAGGAATGTGGCGACTCAGCAATTATAGAAAAGCTGCATTCATAAAAAATTTAACTACGATAGATGATAATTACAATTTCATTTTCCCTGTTGATTCTCGAATTTGATTATTTATTAATGTCTAATATACAGACTTGAATAATTAATAAAACTACAGATTTAATTAAGCCTATAAAGTAAAAATTCTAATAGTAATAACTTACTACAATATATCCATTATTTTTATTTTGAACGTCCAAACTAACACCGAGCCACATATTTTTATTTTCTTCATTAACAAAGCCGTAGGGATATGCTATAAAATGGACAAAATTTTACACTAAAATAATTNGCTTTTTCCGTTCATTAGACATTAAGGGTTTTCGTGACTCTCATCATGAGTTCAGACTTCAAGATAACAGTGAGAGAGGCCGCATTGTGGATGGGGTCCGCTTATCCGAAACAAATCCATCCCTTAAAAAATTATTGATGTTCTGAACTAGATTCAAACTTGGTTCCCCAATACGGCAGACTGACGCCTTTGCCACCTCTGCCATCGGCCGTCTTCAAGGTGTAGCTGAAAGCAATGAGGACAGTAAAATTCGCACATTTCCTATTATTTATGTCACATTTATACAAAGCGCCCGTTGATTTGGCTTTCGTTGCGGTGACTAAAGGACTGAATCATTAAAAATAATGTTAAAATACAAAATAAAAATTTAAAACAATTTTAAAGTAATTTTACTTACAAAATTCCTTGATTGTTTTTGTATATGGCCACGGAAAATCCGAAATAAGAACCAGGGTAACCTTTAAATATAACTGCAGTCTTTGTTTCGAAATTCCAAGACATTACATTTGTACAAAATAAAATAAAAAGTAATCTTTCCATTGAGAATAAATAAAAGTTTGAACTAGGAATGAAATGAATAAACTTTGTAAAAGGAATAAAATGAATAAGGTTTGTAAAAAGAATAAGTAACAATGATTTGGTAAAAAAAAAAATAACAACAGTTCCGCTTTTATGACTAATTAAAAAATGTGATTATTCATTTATACTTAAAAAGTATAAAGTTTAGTATATTAATTAAAAGTAAACCGATTTCTTAATTAAATACATAACTATTTTTGCAATAGTTTCTCCATTTTTCATGAAATATCCGTGTCTAAATCTAGATATAAATTAATTAAAAGAATTTTACAATTTTTCTTAGAATTTCCACCACTTAAAATTTCCAATAACAAAATTATTTTACTTATAAAAATATAAATAAAATAATTTTGAAGTATTATTTAACTTGCTTGTATTTAAAAAAAAAAAAATCAGTTTCCTTCTGGGATCACAAAATTTTAATATCTTCAACTTTTCTAATTAATAGGGAAATAAGGTTATTGTGACAGATTAGCAGTTCCAATCAATAAATAAATTCGTTCGTTTTTATTTAAATATTTCGTATAATCTGTTCCACACATTTCTTCGTTCTTTATTCGAATTTTTTTACATTCTAAACTTGAGCAGCTTACAATTTTACAGAGTAAATGATAGTTTTTCAGATTTTTGTTTTTATTTTTCTTCTAAATAGTGTTATAGAAATTGTTTTTATAATACTTTTTAGACTTTGAAGAAATTAAGTTAATTGACGAAAAAAGTAAGTGTTTTAAAAAATTTTTAAATACATCAGAAAATTTCTTTATATTTTAATTAATTCTTTATATTTAAATAATAATTAGGAAAAAAATGCCAAATCCAGAAAAGAAAAAAGTTTATAAGAAAAAAAAATCAAAGGTCAAAGAACAGAATAAAAAGCCAAACGAGAAAAAAAAGCTAATTAAAAGATTTTTCAAAATAAAAAATAAAAAATTGCCGATAAATTTTAAAAATGAAGGTAAAAGATTTAATATGTAAAACGTTATTATTTGTTTTTAAATTACTTTAATTTTTTCTTTTTTTAAGATACAAGTCAAGAACTGAAGGTAATTGAAGATTTCGAACATTTAGATGATGAATTCCATAACGAGGAAACATTAGCAGAATTCTTCAACAAGGAAGATTTTACAGAAGAAGATGTAAAACCAATAGATTCTTCTATTGTTCTTTCAAAATTTAATGCTCGCATGGTAGAAAGCATCAAGGAAATGCTAGAAGGAAAAGAATCGCAAATCGAAGAACTTTTAATGCGTTTCAGATATTCTCAGTTTTGCACGGAAAATCCAATAAAAGATGTTTTCACGATAAAAGGTTTACGTTTCATAAATATTCAATGCTATAAATGCTGTCGAATATTTTGTAGAGCTGATGATTTGGCAGCTGATAAAATTAAATTTGAGGTTTACGTTGATGAATGTCAGAAAGAAAAATATCGTTACGTTTGTTCATATTGCAATAAAAGTTATCGATACAGAGTTCAAACTCAGCAACATCTTTTACAACATATCATCTGTAAACAGATATTATGTAAAAAATGTCTTCAAGAAAATGTCGATTCGAATTCCGTTTCCTTAATGCCGTTAGAAGAATGTTTTGAAAATGCATTATGTTTATATAAATATAAACCAACAATCGTGCAAAATTCAAATATGGCGGCATCTGCTCTTGTATCTGTTAATTGTGGAAGATGCCAAAAATTATTTCTTCGAGGTGATGAATTCGTAGAAATTTATCTAGATGAAATGTATCGAAACATCAATCCGGAAAATATTCTAAAATTAGCAAAATATTGGAAATGTCTTCTTTGTAATACTATTATGGATATGAAAGAAGAAAATACTCAATTAACGCTACATGAACACTTGTGGATGCATATGATATCTGATGAAATATTTTGTGATAATTGCCAACAAGAAAAACCATAATTTACATATAGAAGCTATATTTTCTTCCATAATTTGTAAAAAACTAAGTTTTTTATTTCCTGTTTAATACAAATAATTATAAAATGTTATATAAGTGTTTCTTAATAATTATAGTAACAATAATAATTAAATAAATATTGAACAAAATTAAATTCATTGTAGCATAGAATTTTTTATTTTTGATGCCAATAAACATGAGTTTTTGCTATTTCATTTTATATTTGTCAGTTTTCAAACTCCTCAATCCATTTGTTTAATCTTCTATCGATGATCAGCAATTTATGTTTAAAATTGCTTTGTTAAATACTCATTAACAAATTCTAGTATTTATAAATAAAACTCTGCTTTTACTTCTAACATCTGAATTTCGTTGCAGTTTGTTTCAAATTTGAAATGAGGCTTTACTTAATGTTTTTTGCTTTTTCCGTTCATTAGACATTAAGGGTTTTCGTGACTCTCATCATGAGTTCAGACTTCAAGATAACAGTGAGAGAGGCCGCATTGTGGATGGGGTCCGCTTATCCGAAACAAATCCATCCCTTAAAAAATTATTGATGTTCTGAACTAGATTCAAACTTGGTTCCCCAATACGGCAGACTGACGCCTTTGCCACCTCTGCCATCGGCCGTCTTCAAGGTGTAGCTGAAAGCAATGAGGACAGTCAAATTCACAACAAGACGAGACGTTGTTGAATTTCCACAAAAACATTTATATTACAAGTAAAACGTATGTACAGTTACAAAAGTTCACAAACAACAATTACAAAACGTCAGGTGTAACAAAGTTCAAATACTTTTAATCCACGACAACAGGTCCGTCGAAAAGGACACCTTGCGACGAACTCCTTCTTGCGTTAGTTACCGCACAGCGAGACGAAACAATCTTCTGGGCAAGCTTAGGCCAAGCTAGACGAACATGAGTTCCCTTGATGTGTCTAAACTCACCATCTTTTTCTTGCAGGTGTTAATATGGAGATTATAGCTCAAATAGGCTCTTTCTCCGATAGACTTGTGTATGATCGCTATGCGACCGATGAGCCAGCCGTACCTGAACGGCCTAATCGCGCGCGCGGGAAATGCCTTCCGGGAGGACTTTTATGGGGAACTGGCCTCCTATTCAGTCGTTATTGGCAAGGAGAAAACCCGGAAAACTCCAAGCAGCCAGCCTGTCCGACCGTGGCGCGAACCCACGACGAACCTCCCAGTCTTTAGGGTCTGGTCACCACTACGATGAGCGGCAACGGAGACCACTCGCCCATGTGTCTAAACTCGCCTAAACTCAATCCTTTTATACTGATTGAGGCAAATGGAATTCGACCAATCAGCGGACGTCCGATAGCGCTTAGTAGCGCTATCGGACGTCCGCTGGTCGTACGATGTCTTCCAGCCAATCCGCTTTCGAGTTTCCAAAGACACCTGATCGGCGTTCCCATGCTGACAACCGTCGTTCGTTTGAAAATACGGAAAAGCGCGGGAAGTATGTCGGACGATTTTATCCCGACAAGGGCTTTCAAAACTACTCCGATTTATACGAAATTATTACGAATTATGCTTTTTTCAGATTCCAACTGCGTACACTATGAAGACACCAATGAAAAAATAGATTTTGTTTCAATCTTTCTCTCTACAAAAACTTAAGAGTGAATTATTAACAATTGAAACGGACCCAACAGTAGCCAAGCGGTTCTAGTTATCTGAACACTGGGAATTCGGTTGGGGGTTCGTGCCTTGCCCGGACGAGCTAACCACGTGGAGTCTTCCGACTTTTCGCAACGTCTGTAAAGCTTAGTTCACACTGAGCGCGATTCGCTAGCGAAAGCGAAAAACCGGTCAAACATGATTTGTTTGACGGGTTATTCGCTCTGTTTTTCGCTTTCGCTAGCGAATCGCGCTCAGTGTGAATTAAGCTTAATGCCTGAATACGGATCAGTTACCCTTAAAAACCTCCAAGAAGGAGTTATTCCCCGCGTACAACCATCATAAAACGCATACAACTACTATTATATGACAATTACGTCACATTTTACCACGGGGAGATATAGCCTAAAAACTCATGCCCAACTAGCTGATACAAGACAAACATTCGAAATTTTCTAGTGCAGATTATAGTGAATGACTACGACTTTCAGAGGTCAAAACTACTCGTGATTGTATTTTCAAGAAAATTACAGGTGTTTTTACATTTTTAACAAGCTATTTTATCGGCGATCGACGAAAAATGACATCTTGCACGATCGGTTCGATGGCAATCGACTTGTTAGTCTGCTTTTCTAGTAGATTCAATTTTGAGAAACATTATTATTATTTTCTCACTTAATACATTGCGGTATTTGTTTATAATAATTTATTGGTGTATTTTTAATGGAGTATATACGTTTTTTAAATTTTAAACACGATGTTCTTATATGTTACTTGAGCAGCAATTTTGAAACGAGAGGCACTTCTGCAAAAAGTATTCGACTTCTCCAACCGTTAGCAACATTCTTCTATCTGCGAAAAGGGAACGGACAAGCGAACAAAACTTTTTACAATATATAAGAAAAGACAAAATTGGAAATCTAACAGTCCTAGACGATTATAGAATTACAATTAAAGAAGTTAAATTTAGATTTATTGAAATCACAAGCCGATTGTCTTAATGACAATGACATTATGCAATTCAAAAGTCTATTGTAAAAGTTTATTTAATAAATATATTATTTTTGAATATACTATTTAATATAATAATAATAATATATGAATTTAAGTTGTGGTAATATTTTCAACTTTTGTGAGAATAAAAATTAAATATATTTAATTTCTGTAATATATTAGTTTCGAAATGTCTGGCAACACTAGTTTACACATAACACGTGGTTTTATTTATCAAAATGTCAGCTATAAGGGATATCAGGTATGGGTTTTAGATTTTTTAATCATTTTCTTTTGAAAATGTAATTTCAACTGTTCGTAATAATGGATAATTTGCTTCTAGAAGTAGAATTAACAAACTGGATGAATGGATATTCATTAAAAATTTGCAAAATATTTGTATTCTTTTAGTAAACCTAAAACCCGACGTGGGAAGAAATTTTTAGAAAATAAATCACCAAAAGTGATTGAAAATGTTAAAACAACTCTTTTCATACGTGGATCGACGGCAAATAATACAGTTCTTACAGCCATGAAGAATTTGGTATGTTGCAATGCCAATTTATAAAATGTTCTTATTTTTAACAAATTTGTATTCTATATAATGTTAAAAAGTTAAATTTTAGATACGTATACCGTCATGGCAGCACTTCCTGTTGTTGCGACTGGTAGCGTTGCTCCCGACACCTTGGCTGTTTGGAGCCGAGTGTCGTCACGTGACAACGCACGCGCATGCAAACGAAAGCCTAGCACTCTTCTTTTCACCGTTGCGACTCTCTCTTCCTCCCTTTTTTGTATTTACGCTTGCTTGCGACCGTCTCGTCTATTTCCGCAGTCTTTTCCGCGGAAATAGACAAGACGGTCGGGAGAATATATTTCCAATTATTTTCTGTCACAACACTATGATAAATACATTACAATCAATTTCGATTGTAATGTATTTATCAATCAAAATTGATTGTAATGTATCATAGTGTTGTGACAGAAAATAATTGGAAATACTGTATATTGTAAAATTGTTTACTGCAGCATTATATTATAGAACATACACATTCTTTAAAAGTTGTACTTATGTAAGATTTTATGAGTAAATGTTAAAAGTTTTCCATATTAATGTTGGAAAATGTATTTGTGGTGTTTTTAATGGCTGTATTTTAAAATCTTTCCAATGTTACCCATTATACATCGTGGTTTTAGAAGACAGAACCATAGTATTGCACTGAAGAGACTTTTTTATATAAGTCTGAAATGCATATGTGAAAACAATAAAAGAAGTGTTTAACCTGAAAGCTGTAATGATAGTCTACCGAACTTAATGTCGGATTAAAGAGACATACATACATACACTATCAGGCCAAAAGTATCCGGACACCCAGTAGTACAGACTCAGAGAGTCCTGGGCATATATTAATCGATGTTGGTCTTCCTTTTGCATCGATGACAGCCTGTACACGTCTGGGGAGACTTTCCACTAGTTTTTGATGGGTGGCCATTGGAATTGACTTCCAGGCGTTCATCACGGCTGAAGTGAGTGCTGGCAGTGAGGATGGTCTATGTGGCTGATTATGTAATTTGCATCCTAATTTGCCCCAAAGGTGTTCTATGGGATTTAGATCGGGACTCTGAGAAGGCCAGTCCAGTTTTTGAACACCCATTTCATCAAACCATGCCTGTGCGAGTCTCGATGTGTGAATGGAGCAGTTATCCTGCTGGAAGAGAAATGGGCCTTCCCCGAAATATTTCCATAGAGTTGGGAGAGCAGCATTGTCCAGAATGTCCACATACATCTTAGAGTTCATGTTTCCAACCACAGGAACTAAGGGACCCAGGTCAAACCATGAAAAGCACCCCCACACCATAATGCTGCCACCACCAAACTTTACAGTCGGCACAATATAGTCACGTAAAAAGCACTCGCCGGGCATCCGCCAAACCCAGACACGTCCATCAGACTGCCAGATTGTAAAGCGAGATTCATCACTCCAAAGAACACTTCTCCACATGTCCACAGTCCAATGACGGTGAGCTTTGCACCATTGCAATCAACGCTTCGCATTCTGGGGAGTAATGTTCGGCTTGTGAGCGCCTGCACAATCATGGAATCCCAGGTTTTTTAACTCTCAACGAACAGTCCTGGTGCTAATTCTAATGCCTGATGACCTTTGGAACTCCTGAGTGATTTCAACCAACGAGGACGTGCGACTTTGAACCTTTTCAGGGTTCTAAGGCTGCATTCACTCATTTTCTTCAGCCTGCCACATCGTTTTTTTTCCACTTTCACTGCCTTGACGTTTCCACTTCACAATTACATCACTCACAGTGGATTTTGGCTTCTGTACAATGTCTGAAGTTTCACGAACTGATTTCCCACAAAGGTGGCATCCCACTATAATGCCACGATCAAACTCACTAAGCTCTTTTGACTTACTCATTGTCTCACAAATGCATAAATATGACCTGACAAAACACTACCAGCACTTTCATATGTTTCAGTTACGCGTCAACGACCATCACCTGCCAGATCCACTTCTTTAGGGGTGTCTGGATACTTTTGGCCAGATGGTGTAGAACATAATAACAGCTACCAAAAGTGATATTTAGAACCATTTATATTTGTGATTGACCGGGTCTCAAAGATTTTGTTGCAATAATTTTCCAAATAATAATTTACTTTTGTATTCAATATTTTGTTTTAAATATACTTAGTCAGTATAAAATTTACCAGACATAGGCACTTCATGATACTTTATTAGGTCTTACAGTACATCATGGACTTGAGATACTTATGGGAATTTTTATCCCATCTTCACCCACCATACATACTATCCCTGTATCAAATTACTAATTTCCATTTAAATACCAATAAATTTGCAGTTTCTCCTGACAGTTTAGCTAAGTAACAATGAACAATTAATCATGATTGCATAATTATGTAATTGTATAATTAAACATTAACTAAGTATTGTAAAGTATAAATATTTTAAATATAAATATAAAAATGTTTAAGTATAAAATTTCAATTTTTTTTTTATTTTAGTTTTTTGCAGTCTTTTAGATTTAAGTTTATAATAATAACTACCAATTACAAATATAAATATGTATTTTATTATTTATATACAGTTTAAGGTTGTATGAAAATGTAGAAAAATAAATTACATAAATTGTCCTTGATCAAGTTGAGTTACTAATATAAATTTTAGTAGTCAGAGATTTGATTCGTATACAAAGGAGAAAAAAGCTTTGTTTTGTTTTTTTCTTTGTCACCATTGTAAAATAGAGCATCATGTGTAATTCAGTATCATATCATTATCACAGTTGTTTAATAAGTTTGTAATGCTCCTTGGGCTAATAAATTACACATCACAGTCCCTATTGGTTTATTCAATATACTAGTAGGTGCATAGCATGATTACACTACCGTAATAAAAAGATAAATTAGTATGGTTTTATATTCATATAATAAAGGAAATCAGATTATCTCCATTACTTAGCATCCTGTCCACATTGCATTGTAGTGAGCCTGTTTACTTTATTGCAAGCTGCTAAGAACTGCATGGCTGTGTAATTGGCTTAAATTTAATGCAATTGGCACATAAACAACAAGTTCATTGGCTAAACTGTATTCTTAAATTAAAAATGCTTAGGCACTATGCATGTTCACTTCTTCTGCTTCTTTAATGTCTCATGCAGGTTGCCTCCTATTCTTGGGTGATCAATATAACTGTCAAACCTATCTATAATAGCTAGAGTTACCAACTGTCTAGTTTTGAACAGAACTGTCTAATTCTGTGCATCTTACGAAGCCAGTTGAGAGGTAACCAAACAGTGGACAATTTAATCTAAATAATGTACCATGCTAATTTTCTAATAACTTATTATAATCAAAATTATCTCAGTAAACTATAGTGAAACCTGTGTAAACTGGACTTGTACAGTACCAAATATTTTTTTTCTAGTTTGGCAGGTTCCATTTTGAACAGGCTTTTTCCCAAAAAATTACTGCATTCTTAAGAATTTTTCCCATTTAGGCAAGTTTCTGTTTTATTAAGATTATATTTTGGACAGGTTTTATTTCTATATGTTTCTTGACATTGATTCAAGATAATTTTTTACTATCGTTTTTTGCATTTGTTTATCTTTTTTTAATATAAAACATGAATTGGCAATTTTATACTGATGCCATTCTGAGCAAATAGATGATTTTAATATTTTTGGTGGTCATGTTTTTCCATTAGTACCATAATTGATAAATTAATTTACTTATGTCACAAATACGCTACACATCAGACATTTGTTCAAGTACAATGTAAATAGTTTAAAAAATAATATGAAGTAATGGCAATTTAATAACATTCTACTTGTTTAAAAATGAAAAATTTCTTGTGGTATTGTCTAGTAGATATTTACATTTAAACATGTCAGATAATCAAAATAATGATTTTCAACAAATCTACATTAAAATATCCAATAAACATTTTTTGTAAAGAATTAATTCTGCTTTATTTATTTATTAGAAAAGTCACTGTGGCCATTTGGGCTTTTTTCAAGTGTCTACAAACAACCAAAAAAACACAAATATACATTTAAACCATAAGTTAGCAACAAGAACTATAACATGAACAGATTTTTTACATTATTTTTGTAAATTCTATAACTTGACACTTCTCTTAGATCGTTGCTTAACTTTGTTCCAATGTAATATCATTTGGAAAATTGGTGATGATTTTCCTACCGTGAGTCTGACAGCTGGAAGCATATAACAATAAATCCTTCGAGTATTCCAAGTTGAGCCTTTACAATATTCTGTTATTTTATTTCCAAGACTACTTTTATCTTTATTTCTCTTTATGAATTTGTAGCTCTCCATCAAAACTTGTTTTGTATATATAATGTGTATTTTATCAATTCTGTAATACTCTGACACTGAATCTCTGAAGTGTAAATTATGAATGGATTGAATAAAATGATTTTGTACTACTTGAAGTTTATTAATTGCATTAAAGGATGTGGTTCCCAAACAGATATTCCATATCTTATTTTAGCTTCCATACATGTGTAATATAATTTCTTCAATTGTTAGATACTTAAAAAATCTTGAATTTTTTTATTTATTCCCAATATACTTGGCTAAAGATAGAGCAATATCATCAATATGCCAGTTCCAATGAAGATTATCATCTATTCTTATTCCTAAGTACTTTATAATGTTTAATCTACCAATTTTTCTTCATTTCTTTTAACAACATTTTTATTTCTATTTGCAAAGCAGAGAAATTTTGTATTGTTACTGTTGATTTGTAGCTTATTCATTTTTATATAAATATGTAATTTTCTTAGGATGTTATTTAGGTTATCTCGAAGAATTTGAGTTTCTGTATGAGAATAAGTTATTACCATATTATCTGCGTACTGTACTGTATATGATAATGTTATCTTCTGGTATATATATATATATATAAATGATTTATTTGTATAAAATTATACAGAATAGTTGATAAACATTTTTAATTATATATATATATATATGATTAAAAATGTTTATCAACTATTTTGTATAATTTTATATTATACTAGCTGTTACCCACGACTCCCCCGCAAGGATTTTGCAAGTAAACCCTATTTATATTCAGTATTTCAACAACCATACTAATTGTTAAATAACAACTACCACTGAGAATGATGAGAATTGCTGAGAATCAAATGAACTATTTTTAATTTGATCAATTTTTTGGAACATTTACAATCGTTCTATAATTGAACCAATATGCAATAACAAATTCGAATTTAAAATGGTTCGAACGTTTGGTTAAAAAATCAAAATATATAAACATATTCATAACAATGTCTGAAATGTTATCAATTTAATACACCTAAGTATTCAATGAAGAATAAATGTAGTTGAAAACAAAAAATCACATCTAAAATAGTGCAGTAGAAGCCATTCTTCCAGTTAATCCTTAATCCTCTCCCTCTCCCTTGCAGGGGAATTTCAAAAAATCCCTTCTTAGTGTGAGTTTTCATGACGTACACTAACTGTGTAGACTGCATCTAAATTAGTACAGTAGAAGCCATTCCTCCGGTTAATCCTTAATCCTCTCCCTCTCCTCCCACAGGAGAATTTCGAAAAATCCCTTCTTAGTGTGCATTCCCATGGTATACCCTACTAAAACGCAGATAAAAACAAAATATTGCATCTAAAATAGTACAGTAGAAGCTGTTCTTCTGGTTAAGCCTTAATCCTCTCCTTCTCCCCCGGGGAGAATTTCGAAAAATCCCTTCTTAGTGTACATTCTCATGACGTATCCTAACTGTGTACCAAATTTCACCTCTTTAGGTTCAGCGGTTTGCTCTGGGCAATGATGAATCAATTATTCAGTCAGTCAGTCAGGACAAGTAATTTTATATATTTAGATAACCACAATGGCTAAACTGTGGCTCATGAGTGACATGCAGGTCTTGTAGTCCCTTACTGTGGATCCATTATACTCATACAATTTTTTTTGTAAGCTTGGTACATGCTACTTTCACATATTTGTATAAGTTTGCTCTTGCATGACGGAAAATATATGGCTCTTAACATGACAAGGTTTGGCCATCCTTATTATGTAGAAAAACCATTACAAACATTTAAAACATCGTGAACATATAAAACATCATTATAATAATATTTTAAAATTGGAAGAAAAAATATTTTAAATAATTTATAAATTTTTTATATAAATTTATAATTAATTTCAGTAAGAGCAAATATTTGAACTCTCACTTTACATTCTTTTCCCTGTGGATTATTTAAATGAAGTTAATTTTTATTTATGCAAACNAAAATAGTACAGTAGAAGCTGTTCTTCTGGTTAAGCCTTAATCCTCTCCTTCTCCCCCGGGGAGAATTTCGAAAAATCCCTTCTTAGTGTACATTCTCATGACGTATCCTAACTGTGTACCAAATTTCACCTCTTTAGGTTCAGCGGTTTGCTCTGGGCAATGATGAATCAATTATTCAGTCAGTCAGTCAGGACAAGTAATTTTATATATTTAGATAACCACAATGGCTAAACTGTGGCTCATGAGTGACATGCAGGTCTTGTAGTCCCTTACTGTGGATCCATTATACTCATACAATTTTTTTTGTAAGCTTGGTACATGCTACTTTCACATATTTGTATAAGTTTGCTCTTGCATGACGGAAAATATATGGCTCTTAACATGACAAGGTTTGGCCATCCTTATTATGTAGAAAAACCATTACAAACATTTAAAACATCGTGAACATATAAAACATCATTATAATAATATTTTAAAATTGGAAGAAAAAATATTTTAAATAATTTATAAATTTTTTATATAAATTTATAATTAATTTCAGTAAGAGCAAATATTTGAACTCTCACTTTACATTCTTTTCCCTGTGGATTATTTAAATGAAGTTAATTTTTATTTATGCAAACATTATTTAATTGAAGTAAATTTCCTTCTGATTTTAAAAAAATTTACAAATAAATATTTGTTATATTTAAATGATCATTCAATTTATTTCCAGAATTCATTAAAGAAGCCTCATGGTGTTTTTTTCAACAGGTAAAAATATTTAAAACCTATTAAATATAATAATAATTACACATGTTAAAATAATTACTTATAAATTTATATTTTAATAGATTAACTTAAGTGACAAATTTATTTATATCTATATATATATTATATTTGAATGTTTTGTTTATTATAATTAGAAAGAATGAAATGAGACCATTTGAAGATATTATACCAATAGTAAGTAAAGAACTATGTTATCTTTATCTTTATCTTTAAGTTGCAAAATTCTTGACACTGTATTGTAAAAATAGAAACTCTTACTGTTTTTCATACAGTTAAATGTTTTATTAATTTAAAAATGTTTTTGGCCTTTTAGGCCAGCTTCAGTTACAGAAATTCTTATAATGGAACATTGAATGTTATAGGATTGAACAACAGTTTAAATTCAAATTAATATATAAATATAAATGAGATATACAGTACTGTATAACCACAAAACTGAATTAATGGATAAAAAGGGGGTAAAATTGAAGATTAGTTTCAAAATTTGCCATATTCACAATCCTTATGTTCCAGACTCAAAAAAAGTAGAGTTGGCCATTTTTGAAACTATATGTCTCAAATATTAAACATACTGTTTAAAATTAATCTAAATAGAATTTAACTACAAAACAAAGGTTTAAAACTAATCAAAAGTAATGAAAATTAACATTGTACATCTGATATTTTAAGCAAGACAACTGCATTATATTCTTATATCCTTTTATTCCATAATTGTCATCAAAATGTGAAAAATGATTACCTTAATAGGATGAGCATGTATGCATTGGGCTGAACTGAAAGTTCATTTGGGTATTTACATAATTGCTCGTCCATGTTGCCTCTGTCGTGTTTGTCAAGTTTTAACTTGTTTAGGTAAACATTACGAATATTTGCATATTTAATACATAAGTTTAGTTACAGCTGTTTTTTAAATTCTGTTATCTTTTAAGGAAAAAAACATTAAAATGGAAGATAAGAAGGTGCATTTTCAACATCTTGTGTTCTTTTTTTTTTTTTTTGATGATATGAAACCGTGCTTTACAATTTGTTTATGCTTCTAACACAATAGAGTGCTATAAATTAAGACACTTGGCGGGTTTTCTCATCTTTATTTAGTTGATACGTGTGAACATTTTACACGTTTCGGGCTCTTAAGCCCCTCTTCAGCCAACTAAAACATTAAAAAAGAATATAACATACATATAAAAAACACAAGTTTTGTAGAATTCATAAAAATCTAAAACATACCATGTATATAAGTCTTATAGACTGGAGTAACAGCTTACTTCCGTTTCAGTAACAGTTACTCTCGATATTTTCCAGTAACATCAGCTTATTCATAACCAACTATAATATTAGGGTATATGACACATATATACAAAAGTATACATAAGAATCTATAAAACTATCTTCAATTAAGGCATACCTTGAGTACGGTTGTTATTAAAGCTGTATACAATTGATTATACCTTTCACTTATAAACAGTTCTACAAAATCCTTGATCTTAAACATACTTTGGATTATGCCTTACACTCATAATCTGTTTTACGAAATCCTTATTTCCTTTGATACGCATTTACAATATAATACGAATTTACA